AAAAAAAAATGGAAAATATTATTATATAAAAAAAATAAAATTGATTTTTATAATAATATTAAATATGAAGTTGTCTGTCTTATTAACCCGGATGGACTAAGTTTGTTCCAAAATAAAAATTTAACTTTAAACAACATTAAAAAAAAAAAAAAATTTCTGATTTAAATTTATCCATTTTAGTCAATGTTTCAGTCATGACAAAAGGCATGAGGCAGAACATTCAGACAGTTTTTATTTTTATTTAAAGGAAGAAAAAAAAGAAATTTAAAATTAAACCCGAATTAACCTTTGTTATACATTAAATTAAATATTTATAATTATGTTAATTTAAAAACTATTTAATAAATATATATATATATAAAATATATACATAAAGGATGTAATGGATTAAAGAAAGAGTTCAAAATAGTTAAAATTTTTAAATCTTACTTATATTATAAAACGCAGTGTGTGTGTGTGTCTGTTCGTTTATATATGGGATCGTATTTCCTACATTTTTTCAACCGATTTCAACAAAACTTCACAGGACTACGTAAAATTACCCGGCGGTGGTTCTGACAGCACCCAAAAATTGGAAAAACAAATTGTTTTTGCACGAAATCAATTTGAAAGCACAGGTAAGGGTATCGCACCCGGCCGGAAGTTACTGCCGGCTACTCAAACGTCCGAATGCCGTTAACTTCCGGTGACTCAGCGTTTTTTGTTTTTTTTCAGAGAACAATACACAAAAAGTAAAACAAATGAAACATAAACATACACAAGTCCTCCTAACTAAAAATAATAACCGGAAACTACTTTAAATACACATGGTGTCCAAATGAAACCCATGTGTACAGTCAAAATGCGGAAGTTAATTTTTAGTCATCAACCAAAAGATATTGCCAACCGGCTACGATGCTAACTGCAGCCGACATAAATACAGCCGATTTCTTCCACCAAACTTGGGGTTTTCCAAGGGGGGTAGAGGGACGTGCCCTCTCTCACCTTCACACCTGGCCCACCCTCATGGAAAATAAACCTCCACATCTCAAGTGTTAATAAAAAAGCAAAGCATGTCAGATTTATAAAGATTTCCTATTTGTCCCTTTATCCTATCATTCTCTTGCATTCCTATCTATATTTGATTTGATCTTATATATATATATATATATATATATATATATATATATATATATATATATATATATATATAAAACAGATGCAAACTATGCCTGGAAGAAAAAATTAAAATAATTAAGTACAAAAATACAAGCCAGTTATTGAACCAGAGAAATGAAATTATACTTAAATGTCATCATAAAAATAAGTTTATATAGTCTTAAAATAGACATTTATTTTGCATCAAACACTGAAAAATATATATTAGGTTTGTAACTATGTAAGTTTATATATATATATATATATATATATATATATATATATATATATATATATATGTATTTGTTTATTATTTTTTATTACTATTATTATTACTTTAATATATATATATATATATATATATATTTTATTATTATTAAATGATGATGATGTTTAAATGAATAACAACATAGATTGCATTTCTGTGATTTTTATTACTGGTTGCGCAGTTAAAGTTTTATCCATAAAATTTTCCCCCTACCTTCCCTTACTGCAATATTCTCAAAAAAAATCTAAAGTAGGATCTGTAATGTAATCAGTACTGAATTAGCTTCTTGACTTCAGCCGCTTTCTCACAGACGTGATGTGGCTTCCCTCTTCTTTTCTAAAATATTTTCATGGCTACTGCACTGATGAGCATTTTTTTTCCTGGTGCCCTGACTACATGAATTTAAGTGTACTACTAGATTGGCATCTAGGTCCCAACTTTTTACTGTTGAAATAGTTAAATGTAACCACCCTTCTAACAGTTTCTTTCCTCACACTTCTCCATATTGGAACTCCATTCCTCTCACTTGCTTCCCTGATAACTACAATCATCAAAAAACCTAAATGCAACATCAGTCACCATGTTTTGTTGCGTTGATACCTGTTCTTTTTTTTTCCTTTCTTCAATCCCCCACACACCACACTTTTCTCTCATTTTCACTCTCCATAACCCCCTGTGTGATAATGGCACTTCTGACTTGCTTTGGGTGAAATGCTTAAAAAAAAAAAAACATTGAATATAAAATAATTAGGGTACTGACAAAAGCATCTAATAAAATAATTAGGGTACTGAAAATAGCATCTACCACAATCAAAGGTAAAAGCTCTCCCTACCAACAGCTAAAATAATAAAAAAAGTGCTCAATACAATATATATATATATATATATATATATATATATATATATATATATATATAAATAAAAAAGGCAGGTGTGTGTGTGTGTGTGTGTGTGTGTGTGCATGCACGGCCAAAATTTTCACGGATTTGCACCAAAATTTACATGCACATGCTCCAAGTTAGCAGGGAAGGCCAAGACTGACTTTGCATTTCCCAACTCCCATCGATAGTGGAAATAATCGATTTTTTTTCATTCATGCTTCTACGGCAGTTTTCATGTAGTTTGCGGTCATTTTGTACTGGCCAGAGTGAGAGCCTATAGCTGGCTGCCACGAATAGGCAGGAAGATTCTAAAGGCCAGCGTGAGAGCTAACAGCTGACTGACATGAATGTTAACTAGCATGCTAGCATGCAAAAAAAAAAAAATCGATAGCTGCATTCGTCACAAGTTGGAAAAATTTAAATCTGCATGGCACTTTACTCCAATTGGCTCATTCACTTGCTTAAACTCAACGTTGATTCTGATTCCGCAGAACTGGGTTGGGTGTGAAAAAAGTATTTGTTGTTAACATTCTTTTTTTTCATTCAGTTTTTCCAGTTACGAGTCCTTTTTTTTTAAAGCTGATCGTTTTGTGTTCATTTTGTTTAGTTCTTTTTTTCGTAACAGATTTAATGTTTAGTATAGAGCTTAGAAAAAATTTGCAGTGTGAGATAGGCAAGAAGTAAGGCATGTAGCAACATCAGCACGGCAAAGGGCACTCCTTTAAAAGGCAAGGAAGGGCAAAAATATTTTTTAGCAATTGTGATAGTTCATCGATTTTTTAATCAAGAGGCAACGCCGACATGCTGCTATTTTTATATGGCTAAAAGTATAGCTGAAAGTGCTCGAACATACGAACATTCAGATAATTTCTACATAGTTTATGTCGAGAAAAGAAGAAAATTGTAAGAACACAAGAAAAAATTAAATAAAACCTAACTGTAACTGTAGTACCTTGTCAGTCAATTTTAACGTTATACACACACACATATATATACATGCATTTGTTTGTGTGGGTAATGGTTTGCAGCTCAAAACATGGGACTGATGATTAACAGGTTTAAAATTTCCTATTAATAAATAATCAATGTATCAGTTGGTCTAAAAAATATTGGCAAACAAAATTACACATGTAAATGATGAGTTGTCATTGTTAGAAGAGGTGATAAGAAATGCAATAAATTTCAACAAGACAATGTTCTTAAGATTGTGGACGCCAACAATGTTTTTTGGTAAATAGTGTAAATTACAGAAGCTTATAAAAATATTCTTATATCTTTTTTTTTTTTTAACATTTAATTTGATGTAAATATTTCCCATTTTTTCTGCAGAGGAAAGTAAAATTTGTTTGTAGTGAAAGAGATAATCAGGTACCCTGAAAAAAAAGTTTGTTTTTTTTTATTAATCTGTAAGAAAATTTTAAAAAAGTATTTTCAGCAAAAATTACACACAGCTGACTGTGATGGGGGTTCACCATTGTTGATACTGAGTTTGATGTTTTCTAACTCCCGGCTTCTGGAGAATATTTCCATCGGCTGTTAGTTAAACCCATTTTTGTCTGCTCCACTGTTCAAAAATCAATCCATTACAGTTTAATGACCAAGAGCAGCCCTAATATATTAAAGCGGTGAAATTATTCCATTGATATTTTTGCAAATAATCACATTGATAAAATAAGTTTCATGCATTCAAAAAGAGACTGGGCTTGACGTTAATTTAGCATTCCATTTTTTTTTTAATTTGGTATTAATATGACATACTTTATGACATTTATAATTATTGCTTTCGACGCGTTTTTTAATTTAAGAAAAAAACTGCTTTATTTTTTGAAAAATTGATAGATAATCTCTTTTTTCGAATATTTGGCCTAGCACCGATTGTTTTGACATTTATTAAAAATTCAGGCTGAATTTTCGGACCTTTTGAATCAATTGGTTGAACGATTTTACCACTGGTTCATCAAATCTTTTCATGTATGCATCATGACATTTCGGGCTTTTTATCAGTCAATTGATTGAGTGTCAGGTCTTCCATTCTGGATGATGCATTTATCTACTTAACATGACTATCCATTAACCGAAGGCTCAAATTTCATCCATTCTTTAAAAGCGGTTTTGAACGAATGAATACAAAAAGCTTCATTAAATTCTATTCCAACTTATACGTCTACTGTCTTGCCAGGTTTTCTCTGTATCAATTTGCCTATAATTGGAAAATGGCCAGTAACTGGTCAGTTCCAAACGGTTTAAATAAACAAAATATATATTTTATTAGAAAGCTGCTCAATGTAATTAATTTTTGTTGGTTGCTCTTTTGCCTTATATACAGCAAAGGCAATTTTTTCAATCGAATTATTCAGAATCCAATCAATTATTTGTGATTTCGTATAATTACAGGTAGACCAGTTCCATTTTTTTGAAGCATTTTACCACAGATTGTCCACTTTTATATCACCACTGAATTTGGGGATCAATCTTATTTTAAAATCTTTCTGTCATCTTTTTATAGAAAAGAATAAAAATAGCTTGTTGTTTTAAGAAAAGATCCGTTAACTGGACCGTATAAATTTATTTCATTTCTTATTTATTTCGGACTATTGTGAACTGCAATTTGATTTTTGTTATGGAGAAACAAGAAACCTATTGCAGTTCCTACATCAGTTGACAGTCTTTTTGACAAATACACAGGGAAATGGAGAAGGAAAAAAGGAAATGGGTTAAAAACGAAGAAAACAAAAAAAGAAGCCAAAGGAAAGGAAGAAAATGAGGAAAAGAAAGAATGAAAAAGGGGAAAGAAAAGAAAGGATAAAGAGGAAAGAAGTAGAAAGTAGAAAGAAAGAAAGATGAAAAAGAAAAGAGAGACGGAGAAAAAAAAGAGAAGAAGAAGGAAGAAAAAGTGGAAAAGAAAAAAATGAAAGATAAAAAATAAAGAAAAAAGAGGGAAGGAACACAAGGAAAGAAGGGAGAAGGAACACAAGGAAAGAAGAGGGAAGGAACACAAGGAAAGAAGAGGGAAGGAACACAAGGAAAGAAGAGGAAGAAGGAAAGAAGAAAGGAACACAAGGAAAGAAGGGAGAAGGAACACAAGGAAAGAAGGGAGAAGGTAAGATAAGATTAGGAAGAAAAAGAAAGAAATAATGGAGAAAAAGAAGGAAAGAGAAAAGTGACAAAAAGAGAGAAGAATGAAGAAAGGGAAGAAAAACAGAATAAAGAGTAAAGGAGAAAGAAGGAAAGAAAAAGGAAGAAGTAGAAATTAAGGAAAAAGAAAGAAAAAAATGGAGGATAAAAAGAAAAGAAGAAAGGAAAGAAAAGAGAAACAAGAAAAGGGAGGAATGGTTGAGAAAGAAAGAGGAAGAAAGGAAAACTCAGAAGAAGAAGAAGAAAAAAAGGAAATAACTACAAGAGCTTGAGCCTAGCACTTTGCACATTCCAACTTAATTTTGTCATTTCTATATAACGTTTAAGACACAAGTCGGTTTTCTGTTTTCTATAAAAGACCGCAGACATCTATTTCTTAAAGAAAAAATTTTCTTCATTGTTCCCTTGTATTCCTGGTTGTAAGCTGTTAACATGCACTCTCTCTCTCTCTGCTCTCCTCAACAAATAACCTTCATGTTATCATCCAACAAATGAATGGTTGGACTTATTAAAGCAGAACTTGTTGACACAAATGAAGCAACCTTTGCCGTAAGCGTTTAATTATAATTACATGTCCACACACTTTGATAACTTTAGAGGCCTTGATTTTACATAAAACCCAATGTACCAATTTCAATCGACAGAACTATTAATCCACTAAGACCCACAGGCTAAATTTATATAATGAAAATTAAAAAATTATTATGCCTTAAACCCTGAATAATTAGACAATATTCAATATGTATTGTCATGTCACAAGTCCCATGACCCATTAGAGTCATGGATGCACCAAATGCACAGCAAGTATAGGGCAGGGGTTTCAAACTCATTTGCATTTTCGGCTTTTACATTCAGAGGGAAATATTTTTTTTTGTCAATTTTTTTGACATGGAAGATTAGCAATCAAACAACGTGTTAAAGTTATCAGGAATTTTATTATTCAAATGGATGCCCAAACAGAAATGCATTTTGTCATAGACTTTGCGATTTTTTTTTATTTCAAAATAATTGACTAACTGAGAGTGAAATTTGAAACTATGTAACGTTGTTGTGGAGAGATTCCATTTTATGTTAAAGGATGACTATCCATAGAGGGGTTATGGATTTTCGCCACATTTTGCAAACTGCAGCAATGTTTTCAATCACTGAACAGTGAACAAGCATGCAATGGTGATTTCACATCTGCCACCGGCCCAGTTTGTTTGAATTTACAAACAATTTTTCCAATTGCCTTCTTTTAACTTTAACATAACATGTTGTTTGATTGTTAATCTTTCCATGGTTGAAATTGCCAAAGACTTAAGTCTTTAAATCTAAAAGAAAAAAAAATCATTAGATGCTTAAACTTAACTCACATTTAAAATTGATCCAAGTTATTGGAACATCCTTTATATATATGTCATGGAGAAAGTGTAGATAATTTTTTTTACTTAACTTCAAATTTTTTGAATTCAGTAACATTTGTTCCTATCTTGTAGTAAGATATTCAATTATGATATGCGTATTTATTTTGATTAATGAATAGTTGCCAATCTGGTGAATAAATAACAACTACCACTGTTCAATATTATGCCCCTTGCTCATTTTACTTCTAGTAAGGCCTGTTGAAAAATTTTACCCCCTTTCTAATCTATGAATGTGATGTAAACTAATGTCAACCCCCCTCTCTGATATATATATGTGTGTGTGTGTGTGTGTGCCAAATTTCAAATATGAATAAAATAACTGTAAAAGACAATATAAAAAAAGAAGACTAAAGGAAAATGCATTGGTGAAAAATTTAAGAAATAATGACAGTATATGTCTGAAAAACTGGAAGTCAAAGTGGCTAAAATTAAAAGATCAAAGGAAAAAGAGAGAAAAGGTAAAAAAACCAATAAGGAGTGAATGAAAAGTAAAAAAAAAAAAAATGGTGAAAAGGACAATTAACCATGACATTCTACACTCATACACATAAATGCAGACACATGGGCATGTGAATGCACAAAAAAAAACAAAAAAAAACTGTACCAATAAAAAGTGTATATAAAAAAGAAAAATCAAGAAGCCTAACCAGTCAATGGGTAATAACTCCTGATGAGTATACAAAGTGATTCCCTGAGGGTTCATATATGAAACTCTGGTGTCAGGATGCTAAAGGTAACACCAATCAGCTAAGTAACAAACCTTTTATGCTAGCTGAGGTACCCAGCATTGACCAGGTGTACATGGCTGCAATTATATAAACAACCCCCCCACCCATCTAGAAATAACTGTCTGCATCCCTGCATCATCTGTTGGTATACTAAGCTACTCCCCACCCATCTTTTTTGTGGTATGCCCTTCACAAGTGTTTGATTGTTCTTAATAAAAGAATTCCATCGATAAAATCTTCTTGGGTGGTCATTGCTCAAGGTTAATTTGTTTCAATGTTTTAGATAAATTTTTTAGGTAAATTTTCTATGGCTGTAATAACTTTCAAATATTATGGCATAGTTCACAAATCTAATAATCAAACAAAAACTGGGATGAAGCATCAGAGGTTGATTCAACTGCAAACACATGAACATTCCCCCACCTCCTTCTTCACATACTTAATGTAAAGCTGGGGTTAATAAGAGGTTCTTCGGGAATTTTTCCCTTTCAATGCTTTAATAATCCTTTTTAAACAATCTTTGCATCAAAGGTTGTTCAAATGCCAATTTAGAATGGAATCATATGAAGAACCTAGTTTGTCACAGATTTCATCCACTTAACTGAAATAATCTAAATCAAACATTCACTCAAGACAATTTTTGTCATACATAATTTAAATGGCAAATTTGGAAAGCATCGGATGAAAAAAAAGACATTCATTTAAAAACCATTTAAAAAACGGGCTTTTTGAACAGTTTTTCGTTATATGCGGGGAAGTGAGCAGGACTAAAACCACACTATCTTATTTGTTGCATGATGACAAATTTTTTGCAACATGTTTGAAGAAAATTGGATAAAAAACTTGAATAACTTATTCAAGTTTTTATTTTACGGAGTACAAAAAAAAAAAAAACTTTTTCACTGTCTTTTGGAATTTTTGTATGAAGCCAATGTCACAGGAAAACTATAAATCACTCTACATAAACCTTGTAACATGAGCTGATGTTTTGCATCTGTGCAAAAAACATCAGGTCATCCAGTAAAAATTTTGTTCACATGTAACTTTGCCTTGGGTTTTGCAAAAAGATGTACCCACCTTCAGTTTGATTGATCTTTCAACCAAATCCAGTATGGGTGGAAGGTCTGGAGATTGAAAAGTTGGTCTTGAGCTATCTTGTTAAATTTGCACCATGTCTATACAATTTCATCAAAATTGGTTGAGAGATATGGACATGCATAAATAGCATACACACACTCACTTCTGTTTTATATATATATATATATATATATATATATATATATATATATATATATATATATATATGTTATAGTTCTACTTTGTATCCAACTAATTCAGACAGATAACTGAAATTTTATACAGATCAAACTAAAAAATGTTTAAATATGATGACTAGTTTTTTTTGGGCGATGTTGTTAAACAACGATTTTCAAGATGATTTCCAAAAAATTAAAAAATATCAAAAAGTTTTAATGAAAAATTTTATAAAAAATTAAAGAAATCTCTTCCGTTGATGTTGGAATACGTTTGATCAATTGGTTCTTATATCTTTAACAATTGAAAGCTTAATCTGTCTGAATTAGTTGGGCTCTTATGTCCATCGCCTTTTGTGTTAAATTGTTATAAAAGACAATAATGTTAATTATGTTTAAATGAAAATGTCCATGAAGATGGTCTTAAATAGACCGAAACGTCCGAAAAAATGCTTTATTTTAACATTAATAATGCATATTCAGAATTTTGTTTTTTTCTGTATTTTTCTTTCATACTGTCGGATTTATATCCATATATTTGCTTACATATATATATATCTAAATAAATAATCATTTAAATGCTAATGATGTAGCCTTGTGTTAAAACTAAGAAATACACAGCACTCAAAGTGAACGTAACTTTTGCTGCTACATTTTGTAAACCAGTATAATGTCTTACTAGTTGACTACTTGGGAAGAGATGGTGAAAACTAAGATGTTACAGCATGACAGGAGGCAGATGGGGATGAACACTCACCCAGTCTCTTATAAACAACGCATACACTTGACACTTTCCATGGGTTTGGGAAACATTATTTCTTCAGGCTTTTTCCAGTTTCTTAATTTTAGATTGAGATAGTTCTTTTGGCAGGTTCTTGAGAACTACAAGGTTTTTAACCAGATTAGTAGCCTTCATGAAGTCAAGGCTTTTGGTAAGTCTGGAAGCCGTAATGCAGATATTGCAAATCTTGTACTCCATGTAGTGGAGGAAGTCAGATAAGCAATGACACTTTGTCATCTAATGTAAAGTTAGAGGCAAAGTTCATTGCAAAGAGCTTAGCCTCATGTGACATGGACAAGATAATCTTTGTGCCATTTATAATGGAATGCACCAACGATTTACTTCTATTGAGAATTATGTTTGAAATTTTTCAGAACACACAGGATCCAATTTTACTTTGGTTTAGAGTATCTACACAGTGGCTCTTTGCATTTTCCAGGTATTTCTTGCAGTAATCAAGCAACAGTTCTGAATGAGGCAAAAGTTATGCTACACTGTTTCCTCTGATAGAGATGGTAGGAGTAATTATGGTGGGCCATAACGACAACACATTCAAGCGTGAACCTGAGGCTGCCTACAGTATTTACATTAGTCGGACTATTGTCCTCATCTTTGTCGCCATATTTGTCACAACGCTTCAACTGCAGCAGCAAATTTCCGGCCTTCTTCAGGTAAAGACATGCAATGATAACAGCAAAAATTGCAATATGAGCACTGGTAAAAATGATGCTGAAAACATTAGGTTTATAATAATTTTTCAGAAGTTCATACCCAGATGTCCTCAAGGACACATGGCACAGTGGATAAAGGCGTTGGTTAGATCCAGTGACAGACCCAAAGAAGGTGAGTTCAATTCCTGGTTAAGGCAGTGGAGAACTTTCAGAGGGAAAATTAGCAGGAGATAACTGATAACTGACATCCATCAAACATGGCACGGGAATTAGAACAGTCTACCCCAGTGATCGAAATAAAGGGTTCAGTTCAAATTCCAACCACCTGAAGAAGGCCGGAGCGCATAAACGGCCGAAACGCCAGGACAAATATGGCGACAAAGATGAGGACAATAGTCCGACTAATGTAAATACTGTACATAATAATTTCATCTCATCTAAGAAATATGTT